TTTCACGAATTCGTCTTTTTTTTTTTTGGCTATTCTTCAGGGAAAATCCTCGGATCGAACATCGCCATACTTCCCCCATTTCTTTCACGGTTGTTTATTTATAGTAGCCAACTTCGAAATGATTCTTCCCACCATATAGAGGTAATACCATCAGGTATCCCACGCTCTCATAACTTTCTCGCTAAGGACAATACCTATATATCAAGCCGATAATGATTCTAATAGCGGTCCAAGATTTTCCATTGGAACACGTTTCCTGATACAACTTTTACATCTCGAAGAGTATGATCGAGTATTTTGATCGATTTTGAAACGAAACGTGTTTATAAATGTATATTGATAATATTGATAATACGTAATACAGAGACTTGGAAATTTGGAAGGTCCAGAACTTTACAATAATTGTTGTTTAAGATTTTTGAAATATTTATTTTGGAAACTTTTAAGATCTATTATTGCTAGTTAAGATTTTTGAAGTATTTATTTTATTGTATTTGTTTTATGGATGTAATACAAGTAACTCAGTATAGCAATATAAATTTCTCAGGTGTCGAAAGACTAGCTAAAATTGTCATTTTTTTGGTGGTTGATTGTTTTTGTATGAACCGTGGTCGTGTTACTAATCCATATCAGATACTGGCTTACTCTTTTTTGGTGGAATCAACTGGAAACTAGTGTCTAATTTTGCTATTAGGATAGGATACAGATCATTCTCATCATTGCTGAAAATCTGAGAATGAAATCTATGAAACAATGATTAAAGAGAAATAGTGATTCAGATAGTATTTTATTTTTTCATACTTTTTTATGATTATTTGAAATAAACTGTGAATTATAATTATGAAAGATCATAATTCATATCTTGTAAAATTCAACCTCTTCTTAGAGAATAAGAATGAAAAAATGAGAATTATTGAAACTTTTGGACAACAGGGAAACCAGAGATTCAATAAATAAATTCTTAAGGAGGTTAACAACTTTCGCTAGAGTCAACAGTCGTAATTTAAAATCAGAGAGCAAAGAGTCAATAATCGTAATTCAAAGAATTCAGAATTACGAGGAAATCAAAGAGGATTTAGTAAATAATTTACATTGAGTTTAAAAGATTGCATACGAGACGCAAATATTGAAAAGTCGAATAATAGTCGATTTAATCGAACGATGTTTAATCATGTAAATTATCTGACACGATCGTTTATTTGTTATGAAAGATTTTTCAAATTTTCATCTCGACTTTGAAACTTTAATAAACTAAGCGAGATTTACGAGAAGAATGGCGAATCTTCCTTTCGAGATATCCGATAAATATTACGAGTTTGGTTCGCAGACAACATTTCGAGGTCCTTGTACGCTTGGATTTATTTACCCCGTGCAATGTCTCTTCTCGTATCTTTGAAACGCGTAAAGAAACTTCCCGTGAAACTTTGTCGCGCTAACATCTGATAGAGCTTAATCTACTGTGAAATTTAAACCGTGGAATTCAAACCATCGTCCAAGAGAATGGATTTTTTTCTATCTGAAGAAAGTATAAATACCTGAAGAAAGTAAAGCAAAATTACAAAATTGTATACGATATTTATTTTTATAACGAATTTAAAAGAAAAAAAAAACGATCAATGACTACGATTTCATCGAAGCGTCCTAAACAAAAAAATCGATAGAAGACTAATTTGACGTATAATTTTCATAATCACGCGAGTTTCATTGATCAAATTAAAAAAAATCACAGATCCACACTTTCCTTTCTTTTATATTTTTCCTACATACTTCTCTACTCTCGAAAGAAGCACGGTAAAAAAGAACGTTACCCATTGATCAAATCAAGTATACAACACGATTGAAGAATCAATTAGAGGAAAAAATATACGATATATCGCCTCTTCGGGAACACGTTTTCTCCAATCATTCACGAATGACGCGTATGCATCAACTATCGAAGCTCCATATTTCGCGGTCACGTAATTGCGTTACAACCGTACCTCTTAGCAGGAAGCAGGAGCGATGGGACCTTTTCGCTTCCGTTGCAGTTCCATCCGTGGAACAAGGAGGCGAAACGAGGCGTAACCTTGGTG